CTCGGGGACAATGTTCCCCCCTGCATCCAGTAAAGGATAGAGATTCTCCTTGGCTCTCTTCTTGTCATGTATATATTTGTAAAAACATTTTTTGTTGTCTCTAATGACAGCGGCCAGATTGCGTTCTAGCTGGGCTTTTGCCTTTCTAATGTCCTCTCTGCATGACCTAATGAGATCCCTGTACTCTTCTTGAGTCGCGTCCCAGCAAAAGCTCCCCGTTCAGCCAGGCCAGTCGTCTTCCCCGCCCATTCTTCTTACAGCATATGGGGACAGCCTGCTCTTGCACCTTTAAGACTTCCTTCTTGAAGATCGTCCAGCCTTCCTGGACCCCTTTGCCCTTCAGGACTGTCTCCCAAGGGACTCTCTCAACCAACGTCCTGAACAGGCCAAAGTCCACCCTCCGGAATCCATGGTTGCGGTATTGCTGGCCCCCCTCCTTACTTCACGGAGAAAACAAAAACACCTTGTGTTTTTGTTCCCTAGCCTCAATGGAAGCTTGCCTGTGGGGATGCTGAACATTTGCACTCATGTAGTGAGATGCTGCCATGATGTCTCCTCCTTGTCCTCCTGGGCTCCACAGATTAAGTCAACATGAAAGGTTTCAGATGGAAGTCCCCTCCGTTGTGGAGGAAGGCAGTCCCCTCTGAGAGGTGGTTGATTCTGCCTACCACGGTTTGGAAGTCCCGTCTTTGGGACAACCTCTGCTCCTGGCTACAGCGGGAGCCTAGACCACTAGCTTTGATGAACCTCCACCTACCCTATGATTGGAGTCACTAATTGCTCTAGTGATTGTGATTGTGTGAAAGACATACCAGTCAGGTCTTCTAATACTGTATTTTATTCTATGATAAAAGGATGTGGGATGGTGGAAGGGCTATTAAGAGGCACAGTATGTGAGCCAGGTCCCAGCAAAGGACATATTTTATCCAGTGTACAGGATTTGAACTAGAAGTGGCTGGTGACCTACCCGTTTGTTAGATACTATCTTTTCACTTTATTCCTTCTCAACTTGTTACACAGGTAGTTACCGTACCTTTATGATATAAAAGAAAATAACCATCCTTTATTTGGTGGAATGTGTTTGCTCCTCCCTGGATAATGCATAAATACTTAGGAATCATGTGAAGAAAACATTAGTTTTAAGGCTTTATTTAATTTTTAGAAAACATTTTAAAATAATTCTCTCCCTCTTCAAATGTAGTATAGAAGTCCTTTGTAAAAGAGTGAAACAAGCTGGGGTTTTGGGGGTTTTTATCAGCATTATTCTATAGTAGTTACTTCTGTCTTGTGAACAAACGAAAAATGGGACGAAATACACTTGTGAGTTATTTTCATCGGTCAGATTTTGATTTACAGTTGACATAGCTTTTCACTTCAGGTCACAATATGCTCGTACATACAT